GATCCTGGGGACCCTGGATCGAGTCCCACATCGGGCTCTCTGTATGATGCCTGCTTCTCCCTCTGCCTGTGTCTCTGCCTCTCTCTCTCTCTCTGACTCTATGAATAAATAAATAAAATATTAAAAAAATGAAACTGGTTTCTGTGTGTTAATTTTGTATCCTGAGACTTAACTGAATTTTTTTATTAGTTCTAATGGTTTTTTGGTGGAGTATTTAGGGTTTTTTATACCTAACACATCATCTGCAAATAGTCACAGTTTTACTTCTTTCTAATTTGTAGGTCTTTATTTCTTCTTTTTTGCCTAATTCCTCTGGCTAGGATTTCTAATACCATGTTGAATAAATATGGCAAGAGTGGGCATCCTTATCTTGTTTCAGACCTTAAAGGAGAATTTTCAGCTTTTCACCATTGAGTATGATGTTAGCTGTGAACTTGAGCTTGTCTTATACAGTCTTTATTATGTTGAGGTATGTCCCTTCTTTACCCACTTTGTTGATGTGTTGGGTTTTTTTTAAATCATAAATGGTTGTTGAATTTTGTCAGATTCTATTAGTGCATCTATTTAGATGATCATGTGATTTCTATCCTTCATTTTGCTTATATGCTGTATAATTGATTGATTTGAAATGTTGAACCATCTTTGCATCCCTGAAATAAAAATTCCACTTGACTGTGGTGTAGGATTCTTTTGATGTACTGTTGAATTCAGTTTGGTAATATTTTGTTGAGAGTTTTTGCACCTGTGTTTATCAGAGATGTTGGTCTGTAACTTTCTTTTCTTGTAGTGTGTTGGTCTAGTCTTAGTATCAGGATAATGCTTGCCGTGTAAGATGAGTTTGGAAATATTCCTTCCTGTTTTTTTAAAGAGTTTGAGGACAGGGATCCCTGGGTGGCGCAGTGGTTTAGTGCCTGCCTTTGGCCCAGGGCGCGATCCTGGAGACCCGGGATCGAATCCCACGTCAGGCTCCCGGTGCATGGAGCCTGCTTCTCCCTCTGCCTATGTCTTTGCCTCTCTCTCTCTCTGTCTCTCTGTGTGACTATCATAAATAAATAAAAATTAAAAAAAAAAGATTAAAAAAAAAATAAAGAGTTTGAGGACAGTTGGCATTAATTCTTCTTTAAGTATTTGGTAGAATTCATAAATGAAGCCATCTGGTCCTCGATTTCTCTTCGTTGGGAAGTTTTTGATTACAGATTCAGTCTCCTTACCAGTAATCAGTATGCTCAGATTTTCTGTTTCTTCATGATTCAGTTTTGGTTGGTCTTTGTTTCTAGGAACTTATCTGTTTCTTCTAGCTTGTCCAGTTTATTGGCCTTCATTATTCTTAGTAGTCTCTTAACGATCCATTGTATTTCTGTGGTATCAGTTGTTAGCATCTCTTTTTTCATTTCTGATTTTATGTACTTGAGCCCTCTTTTTTCTTCTCACTAAAGGTTTGTCAATTTTGCTTATCTTTTCAGAGAACCAGATCTTAAGTCCATTGATCTTTTCTATTGTCTTTTTAGTCTCTTTCATTCATGTCCTCTCTGATCTTTATTTCCTTCCTTCTACTAATTTTGGGCTTTGTCATCTTTCTTTAGTTCCTTAAGGTGTGAAGTTAGGTGGTTTGACTTCTCCTTCCTTGAAGTAGGCCCTTGTTGTTATGAACTATTGCCTTAGAACTGCTTTTGCTGCATCCCATAAATTTGGTATATTACATTTCCATTTTCTTTTGTCTCAAGATATTTAAATTTCTCTTTTGATTTCTTCTTTGACCCATTCAGTGGTAGTTCAGTAACATGTTAAATATCCATGTATTTGTGAATTTTCCACTTTTCTTCTTGTAATTATTTCTACTTTCATAGTATTGTGGTCAGAAAAAAATGTTTGATATGATTTTACACTTCTTAAATGTATTAAGATTTCTTATGTATTCTAAGATATGATTTGTTTTGGAGAACATTCCATGTGCACTTGAGAAGAATGTGTATTTTGCTTTTGTATAGAATGTTCTGTATATATCTGTGAAGTCCATCTGTTCCAATATGCTATGTACAGCTTATGTTTCCTTACTGATTTTGTCTGGATGTTCTGTCTATATCATTAAGTAAGTGTAAGTGGTTATTAAAGCCCTCTACCATTATTGTATTGCTAATTACTTACTTTAGGTCTGTTAATATATGCTTTATAAATTTAGGTGCTCCTATGCTGGGTTATAAATATTTACCAATGTTTATATGCTTGTTGGATTGACCCCTTTATCATTATGTAACGTCCTTTGTTATTATAGTCTGTTTTAAAATATATTTTGTCTGATGTGACTATGGCTACCTCCAACTTTCTTTAGGTTTTTCTTTGCATGGGCTTTTTCCATCCCTTCACTTTCAATCTGTGTGGTCCTTACACCTAAAGTGAGTCTCTTATAGGTAACATATAATGAGTCCTTTTTTTTTAATTCACTGAGCACTTTTTTTTTTTTAAGATTTTATTTATTTGAGAGAGGAAGAGCAAGAGATAGTGAGAGAGAGCACAAGCAGGGAGGAGAAACAGGCTCCCCACTGAACAGGGAGCCCAAGGTAGGGTTCTATCCCAGGACCCTGGGGTCATGACCTGAGCCAAAGGCAGATGCTTAATTGACTGAAGCACCCAGGAGCCCCAGCTCTATGTCTTTTGATTGGAGAATTTAGTCCATTTTACATTTGAAGTAATTATGGATAGTTATGTACTTACTGCCATTATGTTCGTTGTTTTCTGGCTGTTTTGTAGTTCCTTTCTGTTCCTTTATTCTCTTCTTTGTAGTTTAATGACTTTTAGTGGTACACTTAGATTCTTTTATTTTTATCTTTCATATATCTACTATAGATTTTTACTTTGTGGTTACCATGAGGCTTACATATAACATATTTGTCACAGTCTATTTTATGATAATAGCTTAAGTTTGAATACATTCTAAAGCTCTGCATTTTTACTCTTCCCTCCCTCCTCCGTTTTTGATGTTACATCTTTTTATCTTGTGTATCCCTTGTTTGTAGTTTGGGGTTTTGTTGTTATTTTTTTTACTCCTTTTGGCTTCCAGTCTTCATACTGGATATGATTAATCCATTACACTTTTATGATATATTTACCTTAACCAGTAAGATTTATGTTTGCACAAGTTTTATTAGTGCCCTGTCTTTTCATCTTGACAGAGTCCCTTTAATATTTCTTGTAAAGCTCGTTTAGCAAAATGATTAACATCTTTAGCTTTAATTTGTCTGGAAAACCCTATTTCCAGTTCTGAATGATAATATTGCTAGTTAGAGTATTCTTGGTTGTAAGTAGTTTTTCCTTCAGTACTATGAATGTATCACGTCACTCCCTTCTGTCCTGAGGTTTCTGTGGAAAAATCTGCTGATAGTCTAATGGGGGTTCCCTTGTACAGAAGTTGTTTTTGTCTTGCTGACTTCAAGATTCTCTTTAACTTTTATATGAATCTTAGTCCACTTGATGTCCCATAAATCCCTTATGCTATCTCCACTTTTTTTCATCTATTATAGCTATAGAATAGGGTATTTATGGGACAAGGTGAGTCCAGGATCCCCTCAGAGCCAGGTTGATCCAAGAGCATCCCTGAATGGCAGGCCCCAAAGACTGGGGCACCAGAAGCATATAAAAACTCCCCTCCAAGAGATCCTGGTGCCCTCCGAGGTCTCCGGTGAGGATAGTCAGCCCTTTGCTGTGTTTAATTAGAAGCCTGCCCCTCAGGCTGCAGCTATGATGATAAGCTATAAGGCCTCTTTTACAGTGTCAATTGCTGGGCCTGTTGTCTCTTGCTGTGCCCTGGGAATACTGGACATTTAACCACTCTCTCTCTGTTGGTTATAGTCCTGTGAGGCCCACCAGCATAAGTCCCATCTCCTGGCCCCAGAGCCAGGAGATATAGAGGTGTCCTCTAGCAGCAGCTGCAAAAACCACGGTACCAGATGTAAAAACAGGGCACTGGGCACTTGTAAAAGTTCCTTCCTGAGAGATAACGGTGTTCTGAAGCACTGCAGAGGGAGAGTGAAAAGTTGGTGCCTACTGGCTGTGGAGTGATAGTGGAGGGAGAGTGTAGAGATGGTGCCTACCAAGAAAGAAAAGTAGAAAAAGAAAAAAGCCTATATATTTTTTAAAAAGCATCCTCCAGTTGGAGCAAGATAGGAGTGTAAAGATGAATGTCCCCTAGCCCCCATACCTAGAGTACCCCAGCATGCCCCTAAATGTGTCAAATCAGATGCCTGACCCTCAGGCTAGTGCTCTGAGACAAGTAAATGGGCCTCTCCCACACAAAGTCCAGGCACCCCTCAATGGGCCACTTCCATGCGGGCCCTGAGATGGGTGAGTCCAAGTGTGTGAGCCCTTTAAGAGCTGTTTTTGGGATCCCTAGTCTTGTGGGTGTCATGGTTTACATCCATTGGTTTTCAAAGCTAGATGTTTTAAGGGTCTCTCAAGTACAGATCTTAAGGGCCAGGATGCCCAATGTGGGGTTCAAGGCCTTTATTACTCAGGGAGAAACTCCAGGTTTTGAGTTCCCTCCCTCCCAGCTGTGGGTCTCCGCATTGGGAGTGGGACTTATGGCAAGATTGTGTCCCAACGTCTCCTACCCACCATGACATGGGCCTTCTCTCATTCAATGTGGAGCCAGCCAGTTTTTAGGTTTTTGGGGTTTTTGGGGTTTTTTTTGAGTAGGCTGTCCTTTATGTAGCTGTAGAATCAGGGTGTTTATGGAAGGTTCAGGATCCTCTCATGTTGTCCTCTTCAACTGTATTGTGACCTGCGATTTGATTTCCATTTTTACGTAATTGTAAAAATGAGAGAAGTCAGTCACCAAGAGCTGCAGCAAACCCATGGCCAGAGCACCCCAAGGTTTGGTGTTTAATCCTCCTGTGGTCAGCAGTTACTGTAGGACTCTGCTCCGCCCAGCATGTGCGCTTCTCACAGGCCTGGAGCCTGGGAGAGAGCAGGTCTCACAGATATCCACGCATGTCTCCCTGTTCCAGAGTCTGTCCCACTGTGAGCTCATCACTGATGATGGGATCCTGCACCTGAGCAACAGCACCTGCGGTCACGAGAGGCTGCGGGTACTGGAACTGGACAACTGTCTCCTCATCACCGACGTGGCCCTGGAGCACCTGGAGAACTGCCGCGGCCTGGAGCGCCTGGAGCTGTACGACTGCCAGCAGGTTACCCGCGCAGGCATCAAGCGCATGCGGGTAAGCGGGCACGGGGCTCCACTTCCTGCAGTTTTTAAGCCATGAATACATCAAGAATCCAGCTTCCATTTTCTCTTAAGCCTATAGTGATACAAACTGACGCTATGCAAGTGTCTCATTCCAGATTTCCTTATTAGGTCTCCCTCCTGGCAGATTCAACTTCCAGAAGGGGTGTGGGGCAGAGGTGCCACAGTCTGGGGATCAGAACTCTTGTAAGGAAAGGGACATAGTCATCACCAGTGGGAAGGAGACCACAGTCCTGGTTAACTTCCAGAGAAGAGGCCTTAAGTAGAGGGTTTTCTCCTCCCAGGCAGTTCCCCTAGTCTCCTGGAGCATGCTGTAAGTTGAGGCAGCTTTGCATTCATGTCCCAGAGCTGGCCCAGGGGCTGTGGCTGTGAGGATTCCGCTCAGGGCGCAGGACTAGTGACTGCCCCTGGGCAGATACTCTGTTCCACCTCTCTTCAGGTGTTGCTGTAGGGGATAAGTATGTCAACAGGGGCAGCTCTGGCCTACACTAGAAATGCTATATGAACTCTTTGCCTGAGCATCAAGTAGAGTGGATTCTACATGGAGAACTGTAGGCCTGTCTGGGATTGTCCCTCTAATCCTCAGCGTAGCCTCTTGATGACTACTCCGCACTCATCTGTCCTCTGCTTCCAGGCTCAGCTCCCTCACGTCAAAGTCCACGCCTATTTTGCTCCTGTCACTCCTCCGACCGCAGTGGGAGGAAGTGGCCAGCGACTTTGTAGGTGCTGTGTCATCCTCTGACGACAGCTGCCTGAGCCCAAGGCACAATGAGCTGTTTCTTCCTCCAGAGAAGACCCAAGTCTTCCCCACCTGCTCCACCTTCACCCAAATCTCTTGGTTCTCCACTGGGAAGGACATTTACAGGTAAAAGACTTCAGTAGGGACTGCAGTAACTGGTGATAGTTTTCACCTTTAGTCTACCACGATGCAATCAAATCAAAGCCTTGTGTCTGTCAGCACATGGCAAGAGTGGTCTCAGTGCCGCCTGGAACATGCAAGAGACCTGAATCTAAGAGGTGGGTGCCTTCTTAGGTACAGAAGTTCTGCTGTTGGCTTTGTCAGCATTCCTCAATAGACCATCAGTGTTAGCACAAATCGAGCAGAAAAAATAAGCTGTTGATTTTTTCTACCTGATACTTAAGCCAGTGGCCTACTTTAATTCACACTGATTTCATTTTGATTAGCAGGACTTTTTCCACTTGATGAAACAGCAAAACTTTCTCAGTGACCTGTACTGCAAATTCGTGATGCCTGAGAGTTTTTTTTATGTAGACTTAGGTGGGAGGCAAGTTAGTAGATTTCCATGAGACACCAAAGAAATGATGACTCGGAACTGGGTGGAGCAGGGTCTCCACCTTTCTGTTTCTGTCAGCTTGTCATCTACACTTTTGGGGACCAGAAACTAAACAAACACAACTCAGAGGCTGTGTTGCCTGACTGGAAATAAGCTGTGGCATGCGCTACAGCAGAGTGCATTTTTGTTGTAGGAGAAAAGCTAATCATGTCATCTCTCACAAAATTTGGGGGACCTTAAGGAAATAGAATTAAGGTTTAAGTTATCTATAATATATATAATCAATTAAAAATAATGAATGGATGCATGTAGAATGGGTGTGATTTTTTTCCAAGTTTATTTTAAAATCTTAGAAATCAAGTTACACCAGAACTATTCAAAAATTGTACACACTTAAAACTCAGATCAGTAAAGTGTTGGCACCTTTTAGACTCATAAAAATGAATAAACCATTGCAATGCTTAAGTCAGAGGGTTTTATTGCTAGAATCTTAATGGCAGACAAATCTGAGCAAAACCATTTTCCAAATTCAGACCTTTTAGTATTATCTAAAATCGGATAAGCTCTGGTTTCCATTCTGTGCTGTTCACATGTGTAGTATTTATTAAGATTAGGAACCCATCACCACTCTCACATTGTGAACTTCAGTGTTCATGGCAGCTGACCCTTCCTAACAACCAGCACAGAGCTCACGGGGAGCTGGAGTGGAACAAGCCGAGACGGTTATTTTCCCACAACTGGCAGGGCTTCCTTTACACAGGCCGTTTAGGAGCATTCAGGTTACAATGGAAGAGAAGGCAGGTGCACACACGACCCCTTAAGTTAATTTAACAAGACTATCAGAATGAGCATCCAGGCCCTGATGGAGTCAGGGCCAGACGATGTCCTCTAGTATTGCCCGGTCTAGCATGTGTGCTTTTATACCACAGCGACAATTTTGATATACGTTTACACCACTCTGCGTGGGGGCGTGACTGATGTAGGAAGCTATTTAAATAAAAAGCATAAAACACACACTTGCTTCAGTAAATTATAGTCTCTCTTAAAAATTTCTATGACCAGGGCTTTCTATACCATCTCTTTTGAGCCAGGACACAACCAAATCAGAGTTACTGGACTCACTCCTCAATGACCTTTGACTTCATTAGAAGAAGGGAACAGCACAGATGAGGTTTCTCAAATGAGAAAAGCAAGGCGGCTTCCTCTGTAGGCATGGAATAGTTCATGGAATAATCTGTCCTCAGCTCCATCATCAGCTTTGAGAAAACAAACCGAAAAGAATGCAACATATAGGCCTCACCTCTTAAAACATGTAGACTTGGGTGTGCTCAGCACACATGCATGGAACCCCCTCGATTCTAGGGCTTGAGGTGACACCGTCAGGAACTGGGATTTTAAATGAGACACGAGTTTGCAAAACAATCGGAAAACATTTATTATACTGAAATGTATACATCCTACTATTAAAAAAAATAGCAAATTTGCTGGTGCCATAATTTAACCTGCTTTGCTGGGACAGACTAATGTTCAATGCTGCTTGGTATATAATTTCAAGTTCAATGAGCTTTTAAGTGTTCTTGACCCGACTTCTAAAACCTGATGAGGAATTCAAAATAGCACACAGCCTTAAATGACATTTATTGTTCCATATATGTTGAGACTCAAAAAGGAATGCTAAACAGACAAGCAAAACTCTAAAACAAGAGATATGCTCACTTCTTTTCCAAATGATTGGTACAGAAGAGGTGTTCATATGAAAGCAAAGGGAGATGGCAGAAAGAAAAGTTCCCCCGCTTCAGGGTCTACAGAATTACAGATCTTTTCAGACTGAAGATGAAAATGTATGAGACCAGGCTCCTCTGTATCCAATAACCCCCTCTACAAATAAAACACAAAATGTCAAAGCTTTTTCCCATTGAAGTAGTTTGTCTTCTGGGAGAGATTTCAAAGCCCAAATTACTCATTCCTATTCCTGCCTGAACAAAGATAAGAATCAAGGAACACATTCAGAACCAAGACAGCTGGTCAATGGTCAGAGATGCTACAGTCAAGAGTGGAACTGAAGTTTAAAAAACCGGTCTCCTATACCACAGGCCTCAGAGATGCTTGCTGGGGCGTGTGGGGAAGGCTTGGGGCCAGGAGAAGCGACAGAGGAAAACAGCAAAAGCCGTGGACTCCCCTTGAGAAGTGCACTGGCAGACAAGCATTTGGTTTTGTGGAAGAGGCACCTTTTTATGGAAAAGAAGCTTTTATGTTGTGTATTAAAAAGCCTCTTAATCACCAAAATGTTTACCCATGATTGTACTAAAGCTCAATATTTCAGAAGTGTGGTGAAATTTTACGGTACAATTTAGTGTTTCATTTATGACATCTCGTTTGCCATGAATAATTTCTACTTGTTGGTAACTCAAAGACCCCTTTCACAGCAAGTCAGAAACTACCATACTTTCCCCCCTACCTAGGTCACCGGTTTCCACTGTCTGGGGAAGGGTTTTAAAAACATTTCAGAACAGGACAGTGCAGGGTGGGGAGGACAGAGAAAGGGAGGAATACCACATGAGTTTAAAAAGCAATAGGGCTTCAAAAATGAAAACCAGAAACAAAATGCTAAAAATGGAAGCAGAAGCAAAAGGTTTTTCAATAAATCTTGACAAAGCAAAAACACAAAAGTCTTTGTACCTATTAGGATTTACACTGATCCTCTCACCAAGGTACTCTTGATAATGCAGTTTGCTTCAAGCCCGCCTTCCTGGCTTGGATCTTCCCCGCTCTGGCACGAGCCCGTCACACACACCCTTAGACATGATTTGTTCCGAGAAGGTGCCAGGCCTCTTACCTGACCACTGATCATGGTATGGGCACATCACATCTGCAGACAGATTCTGTGCTGAGTCCACGACACCACTGTTCCCACCCCCACCCTGGGTCAGCATAAGGTTCAGGCAATAAGAGCCAAACTGGCACAGAAGGTAAATGCCCACAGTACGTTTTTACATTCATTTCCAAACCGCATACAGTGTAAAAAGACAGCAAAGGCTGCTTCTAGGAACTGTATCTACTGGCCTCTGCCAGGGAAGCAGGCAGCGCTGCCTGCATGTGGCCCCCAGAGCTGCACGCATGCTGTCCCAACGTGCTCACTCTCACGAGGATGCTTGGCTGTGGCAGTGACAGTGAGGAGATTCGCCTCTCATACAGCTCATTAGAAAGGTCATCTTGTGTTTTCAATATGAAACATTTCATAGGGTAAAATCCAATCCCAAGACTTCTTGGATTCAGTCTTCACACACTTTTAAGCGTGACTTTATTTGGTACTGAATATAGTTCAGACTAAGTAAGACATCACTTCAAAACTATGTGGATACCATCGCCGTTCTCAGCTGCAGGAAAAGGAAAGAGACGTTACACACAATTCTTTCAGTCAGGCTTAAGACAATCAAGGCTATTAAACTGAAAACTGCCAGAAAGCTACAGTTTCCCTTCCCAACTCAAGTTCCCTTTAAATAATTCTAGAGAAAAAGAGCATGTACAACACAGTCCCTGTTGAGATATTTTACTTTCTGATGTCAGGCCCATATGCCCATCAGCACCCTGCACTCATGCTCCCTGTCACCTCTGGGGAGTACGGGACTCAAGACAAGTGGCCAAAATGATGTGAGCAGGGGGCGGGGAGGTGGGGGCAGAGCAGTGAGGACGCCGTGCAGCCCACGGGACAGCCACCTCCACACAACACAAACTCAGTGCTTCCGTCCACCTTTTCTGGAAATAATTTTGTAGCTCCTCAGAGGCAGATCTGAAACATTTTGAAAATATCACTACTTTTGTCTGATGGCCCAGTGTTAATCGGAATGGCTAGGAACAGTACAGGCATTCATCAAGAAACAAAAGAAATTTTTTCACGAGGACAGGAGCCTGAAAAACAGTGTACTGAGATTGTAGGGGATGTCCTGTGATGTCTGACATCAGCAACACAACCATACAATTACAGGATGAATTTCCTTGTTTACATCATTTGAGTTTTGCAGAGTAAAAGCTGTACTGCTTTGACAAACAAAACACTGAGAGGAGCACGAAGCCAAAGATGCTGTAGCAGTGAAGGATGAAGTGAACAGCTCAGGAAAAGCAACCCTGCAGATAATGAGATGGCAACCTCGACGCACCGGGCACAAGCAAAGCCGTAACATGGGTGCTATTTTACACTGCTCCCTTCAAGAATGACATCTAGGAAAAGGGGACACAGGACTTGTTCTTCAAGGTACAGCTTTCATACTAGGACTGGATTCAGATCTTAACCCACCAGACTTTTTTTTTTTTTAATATTATTTATTTATTTTTATTTATTTATGACAATCACACAGATAGAGAGAGAGAGGCAGAGACACAGGCAGAGGGAGAAGCAGGCTCCATGCACCGGGAGCCTGACGTGGGATTCGATCCCGGGTCTCCAGGATCGCGCCCTGGGCCAAAGGCAGGCGCTAAACCGCTGCGCCACCCAGGGATCCCCCACCAGACTTTTAAAGTCTCTTGTCATATAATAATTTTGCACTTAAAAATCCTTCCATTGGTGGCTTAGTGAAACGTCTGCCTTCAGCTCAGGTCATGATCCCAGTACACTGGGATCAAGTCCCACATCAGGGTCCCAGCTCATCGAGGAGTCTGCTTCCCTCTCTTCCTCTACCCTTCTCCCTTGCTTGTGCTCTCACTCACTTTCTCATTTTCATTCTAATAAGTGGCTAAATAAATAAGCCCTTTAAAAAAAAATCCCTCCATTAACCCTCTAGCTGGAACCTCCTTCCATATTCTTTCCCTAAATGATTTCCACAGCTTGGAGCCACTGCATCTTAAGTCCAGGCCTTTCCCACCAGCTGCAGATGGGGACAATTCCCTGCCAACTTGACCTTTCCAAGCACACCTAAAATGGAACTGTTGACTGCTCCCCCACAACCATTCCTGCCGCTCTTCTGCAAATACCCTCTGCCCAGGTGCTCTTAAAGAGTCACCACCACCTCCCAGTTGTGGAGCCCAGCAGGGCACTGCCCATAAATGTGTCATACCCGGGTGACCTCTCCTGCCTCCAGCTTTCCCCCATTCTCACAGAGTTGTAAGACTGAAAGAAAAACCTAATCACATCACTCCTTGGTTTAAACAACTTCACTGACTTCCCAATGTATTTCTTTTTTTTTTTTTTTTAAAGATTGTATTTATTTATTCATGAGAGAGACAGAGAGAAAGGCAGAGACATAGGCCAAGGGAGAAGCAGGCTCCCTGCAGGGAGCCCGATGCAGGACTCCATCCCAGGACCCTGGGATCATGACCTGAGCCGAAGGCAGACACTCAACCACTGAGCCACCCAGGCGTCCCAACCCAGGGCATTTCAAATAAAATCTAAACTACCGTTGTGCCCGGGTCCTGCACACCAGACCATACCTCTCACTGTGACTCCATCTTGCTCCGTGTGCCCTTCATACCACCACGTGGCAGTGACACAGACTTCGCTTGGCTCTGCACAGCAGCCCAGCTCTTTCCTTCGCACCCTTGGAGTGTTCCCCAGGTGGGTGGCTCCCCTCATTCTCCGGGTCTCAGCATTATTGACACCTCCTCTGAGGCCTTACCATCCATACCACATCCCTCTACCCAACTCCCCCTTATACACAAGCACCTCCACTTTCCCACTCCTCCATGGCACTTAAAAGATTTTTAATTATATGCATCTGGTGGTCAATTCTGCTCTGCTTTCCCCACTAGGAGTTTCATGGAGTTCTGTTCCAGACCTTTCTAGCACCAAAAGCTGTCTGACACAAGGTGCCCAGTGAAATGGTGGCTGAATTGGGTTTCCCCCTCAATAATCTAAGACTGATTCCACTTCCTTATTTGCTAGTTAGTTTCTATTACAACCACTAGAAATATTCTCAATCCATTTTTCAAACTCTTCTTAAAACAATAAAGCCAGCATTTTCAAAAGTAAACACACAGGATGACTGTTGATTTCAGGCACACACTTTCACGATTCCAGCATTTCAAGACACATGCAGTCATGCAAAGTACCTTTTACTGTGAAGAATAAAAAACAACTCTCATCTTGAAAGTTCTGAACCATCTAGAAGAATAAAGCAAATAACACAATTAAGATCCAACTTTGTTCTGAGCTGATCAGAAAACAGTTGAATTAGCAACCACAGGAAAATGTCATCATCTACATACTGTTGCACAAGTAAGAACTCCATGGTCAAAACAGTCTGGTAAAAGCAGCATGAGGTAGTACGCATGTCCACCTGCTGTGCTGGCAGGGCCGTGTGCTGACCAGGCTTGCCCGTGCCTGGTCTGAGGCAGTGCAACAGCACACCCTTCCCACCCAGCCCCCAGCCTACCAGGTCCCCTCCAGGCTCTGTGAATAACGACTCAACACAAAGCCTTGACGTGAGCGCTCCTCTACTGTTACTTGCTTGTCGCTGAGCACTGGGGGAACAATAACCTTAACACTTTCCTAAATCAGTCATCAAACAGTGCACAAAAGGGAAATACACCCCAACACCTCCCTACATAAAACGGGCCAAAGCCCTGCTAAGCCCAAAGTTCCTGGGTGAGTTCTAAGGGAGGGTGGAGAGCAGAGGGGCTGAGCCACAGAGCTGGGTTTATAGTACTTGTATCACTAGGACATCCAAAACTCTTGGTTACAGATTATTACAAGTTTGATCCCAGCTCTTTGAAACTGATTCTCAAGAGCACTTGCACAAGAGATCACAGAATTTTCTCACAGTCCTTTAACAACAGAGAGAAAGTAAATGCCAGTGTGGTAGGGACAAGAGATGGCACGCCAGTTTACGTTACCTGATCGCTAACGAGAATGTGAATACCAGTGGGCCCCTGTCTGTAGACCTGGTTAATTTGGTGGAAAGGAATATTAAACACCATT